CATCCAGGTACTGACCAGACTCCCACCTGCTTAGCCTCAGTGGGAGACAGTTGTGAGTTTCAGGGTGATATGGCAGCTAGCATATTTATTCTGTTCCTCCTAATTTCGTCACTTTCTTTGTAGTAAGTCCATTAACAGTGTGTGTGCAACTTCGTTAGGATAACAGTTTTACCCTACAGTTTAGCTAGGAAGTGCATTATCAATACAAATACACAAGTCATCTCTTCTCTGAAAGGCATGTGGTCTGATAAGCCAGCTGTGTGATGCAACAAACCATAATACAGAAAAGTGCTGCAGAGACCAGAACTGTCTGTACAAACTGTCATCTTTTTTATTTCCAGCTACCAATTGTATCATCTCGGTTCACCACATTCTCATTAAAACTGCTTTTTAGTCAGGTTGTGATCTCCTCAGGGGGAGGAAAAGCAAAGTCATAACGATTTATCTTGTCACAAAGTACTTCTCTCCACACTCTCTTGGCAGAAAGAGCGGGCAGCTCATCAGAACACGCTGCCAGTTCATGCTAAGCAACTAAAATATCTCATCTTAAAATTGGGCCTAAAAGAACGACAACCCGAATACACTACACTTTCCAGCCCTGAAAATGGTGTGAGTTGCACACAAAGGGGGGGGTCACAACCAGATGAGAATTTGTATCAAATTTTATTTTTTAGCAGTTTGGAATTCTATAGAAGACCTGCATTGTTTTCCAGACAGGCCTCTGTCTGCACTGGATTTACATCACAGGGATGAAATACCAGACATTCCAGGGCATCCCACAACGTGTTTTTTTATCACGAGTAGCTGGTTAATCGTGTGATTAGTGGATAATTGATTAAATTACGTAGTTAAGGGTCTAATTATGTCACAGGTATGCAATGTAATTGAATAGAAGGTCTCTGGGTTGCTCTTTTTTTACCGGTTCTTCTGCAGCGTGGTTGATTTGTGCCTGTTTGTGGTCCCGCAGATATTATGCAGTACTCTACCCCATGATTTATCCAATGAAGATCACCGGCAACCGCGCAGTGTTGGCCATCGCTTACGTGTGGCTGCATTCCCTGGTGGGCTGCATGCCCCCACTTTTCGGCTGGTCCACCTTTGAGTTTGACCAATACAAGTGGATGTGCACCGCCGCTTGGTATAAGGAGGTGAGCTACACCGCCTTCTGGATCTCCTGGTGCAGCCTTCTTCCCTTCACCACCATGGTGATCTGCTACGGATTCATCTTCAGGGTGGCGCGGATCAAAGCCCGGAAGATCCACTGCGGGACAGTGGTCGTGGTCCAAGAAGAGTCTTCCTCGCAGAAGAATGGCCGGAAGAACTCAAACACCTCTACCTCTTCGAGCAGCAGCCGTAGAAGCAGCGGGCTGGTGTATTCGGGCAACCAGTGCAAGGCCTTTATCACCATCCTCCTGGTGCTCGGGGCCTTCATGGTGACGTGGGGCCCCTATGTGGCTGTGATCAGCAGCGAAGCTCTCTGGGGGAAGGGCAGTGTGTCCCCCCACCTGGAGACTCTGGCGACCTGGCTGTCCTTCTGCAGTGCCGTCTGCTACCCTCTGATTTACGGGCTGTGGAACAAGACGGTCCGCAAGGAGCTGCTGGGGCTGTGCTTCGGCGACCGCTACTACAGGGAGTCATTTGTTGTTCGGCAGAGGACCTCCCGCCTTTTCAGCATCTCCACTAGAATCACGGGTAAAAGTCCGAAGTCTGTCCGTCTGTGTTACGTCAGGGTGGGAGGGACTGGATCGGTACTCAGGTACAGTCAGGGGCTTTGATTAAGTGTTAGTGATGGATAAACTCCAGCATTCCTAAAGAAACCGGAGGAAGTTGTCAATTCATGTTGACTTTGTTGTGGCGAAAGGATTCAAGTAACAGTTTTTTTTAACAGTTTTCATAATTTAAAATACATTTTTAAATAAGCCCGAATGACCACTCAGTTTTTCGGTTCCAACTATGATTCTCTAACCACCAGCCTTTTCACTAACAAGCGTAGGAATTGTGGAGGTTAGGAGATTTATTCCATTGAAAAATGTTTCTATACTGTGGCCTCATAGCCTTTAGGCCCTGAGTCAAGTTATGAACTGGGGTGCCTTCTGTATGGAGTTTGTTCTTTTTCCAGGATTTCCGATCCAGGTTCTTCTTTGCACCCTGTTTCCAGGATAGGATCTGGGATTCAAGGGCTGAAGTTGAGAATAAGTGGGATTCTGATAATGAATAACTGAATGAAACAAAATGGGATTAGGTGGTGTAAGCATTTCAGTAAAAAACAGAAATGGTAAAAAATTATATGCAAGATTTTCAAGTTAAAGAATCAATATGTGTGATTCTCATATCACTGTTGTTAAAATCACTGTATCTTTCGATCACATGCTTTTTTTAATAGAGGAAAAAATAGCACATTTTGCATGTTAAATATCAACATTTTTGTACTTACTGGTACTGCAGAAGACTGGTAGAGATGCTGTTCCCACTACCTTTTCGGCTGATTGAGTACATTGGTTGAAGTCTGGAAGGCTGTGCTCAGCACTTGCCTCTGTTGTGTTTTACAGACTTGGGGATGTCTCCACACCTGACAGCCATGCTGGTAGGAGGAGGGCACGTACTGGGACAGAGCAGCAGCACTGGAGACACTGGCTTCAGCTTCTCCCAAGACTCAGGTGGGCAGTGCAGATGGGTCCTCAACTTGTTTGAGGGGGAACTGAAATCTGTCAGCAGTATGTGGGTGTGAAAGCTATTTTATTTAAGTTCACAGAGTAACAGAAATTGAGCTATTTGCTGGTGCTGTAGAGTATGAATGAGTCTGATGCTGTTTTAACTTTTTTTTTTAGGACATTCACAGACACCTATTGCTACTTGAAAAAAGAATTTCCATTTTTATTTTTCTTGCTGTCGAATGTGGTTGCTGACAAACATGAAATATTTTGCAGAATTGATTCTCATGTAGTTTTTGTTTTTAGATTACACAAAAGGATATTATGGGGTAGTTGAGCTAAACATCCCCTGAGACTGATGGGAATTACATTGTTCCTGTTGTCAGGGTGGGATGGTATGACTGCAGCTTTGTGAAAGTACTGTATGGTTGCCATGTTGTCGAGAGTTTGTGAGTTTTGTGACTTGAAGCAGCCCTCCCTGCTCACTAGACTCTGTAATGGCTAATGTTATAAGATGTACAAGCAAATGAGAACACGTTGTTCAGCAGATTTTTTACAACAGAAATGTTCCAATGCAGTCTGCAGAGTTAACAAGTAAGTTATTTTTGTCAGCAAAACCATCTTGAGGTTGAGAGTAATATTTCTATTTGATTAAAAGAGATGTTTTCACAAGCCTGTTCGTTCTGCATCGAAGAACATGGCGCTGTGCATGCCTGGAAATTTCAGTTATTTTGTGAAGTAAATTTTTACACGTTACTATGTACATTTTACTTTCATTGGGGTTTGAAATGCAGTCATCATTGCCGATTCTTCAGAACCGCAAAATAAAAATAGCATTGCAGTTCCCCTTTAAATTCAATTGAGAACATTTTCGGAAATACAGATTCAATTATTTAACTAAATATTATTTAACCAGGAAACGGGGTGGCGGGGAGTCTGCATTTAATGGAAGGCGCCTACAACTTCACATCTTTCTATTTTGTTTGAAGGAGCTGTTTGGGTTACCTTTCTCAGCTCCATTAAAGTGTTTTGAATGCGTGAGTGCATGAAGCGTATCTCTACATCATGTTTCCTGATCCAGGCTAAAGAGGTTGTTTGTTTCAGGTACAGATGTCATGCTGCTGGATGACTTTACTTCAGACAGCACGCATGTTTCTCATCACGGGGAGATTTCAAACAAGAGGAGAAGCTCTGTCACCTTTGAAGACCAAGTGGAGCAACATTCCAATAAAGGTAACTATTCATCACAGGATAAACCTAAGGAGACACCACTGCCAGTCTAACAGCTAACATTCATATTCATTTTATATGATAGCAGGACTCACTTGCAGTGTTTAATGATAGAGAATAGCAGTATACTAATGTATATTTTAATCAGTCATTCATTGTTCATGGTTGACTATATTTTGACAATCTGTTCAGTAATACTAGTCATCCACAAATATAGAAGAGTGAAAACTACCACCTTCATCTTCATTACTTCTATAACTCATTTGTTCTTCCTTTAATTGTGAAGTGGAGTTTAAAATGGAGAACTAAATAGGAAATTACTCGAAAGTTTCAGTGATGTAGCTCTCTGATTGTATATTGCCTGCAGTTATTTTAGTTTGGAAATACAATAGTAGAATTTCCAAAACAGGCTTTGAATACGGGGATCTTGATATTTATTTTATTTTTTTTCCAGAAAATTCCAGTTCTTCCTTAGTCCAAGTTAAGGCAGAGATCCATAAGTCTCTGGACAGTTACGCCTCCTGCCTGGCCAAAGCCATTGAGACAGACGTCAAGCTGCTGCTGTTTGGGGAGGAGGCTCTTCCCCAGAGCGTGTCCGCTGTGTGGACTGCGCCGGGCATTGTGGGAGGGGTACAGAGAGGACCCAGATATCTGAACGAGCAGAGACTGCGGCTGGAGAGCATTGACGAAGGAATCGGAAACGATGGCAACGAGGTGGACGAAGAGGAAATTGAAGAAATTTGTGCCTGATTATACACACGTCAATCTTTTTTTGTTGTTGTTGGCAACTCCCATTTTCCTCTGGGGAAGCAACCACGTTTATTGGAAGCATTCTTCTTTTGAAGAAAGGTACATGTTCTTTCCAGCTTCTATCAAAAGAACCTTTCAGTACTTTTTTTCCAAACTCATCACCAGTACATGTTTATGGTGCTACTGTTTTCTGCCACAGCATAATTCAGTTGACATTACTAGATAAAGAAATTGTAGCATTTAAAGGTATTAAACCAAATTACTGTTTATTTTTGAATTTTAAAATGCCAAATTATATACACCCATTTAGGAATAACTAGTTTTATAAGACAAAACGTACAGTAATGACTCCTAAACCTATGACTGTTGAACTGGCACCAGATGATCCATGGGGCTTAATGTGTGCTCTGAGCTTACAGAGCTATCAAGGAGTCTCTTCTCAATTTGATCTCCAATTCTATACAAATCCTACATTGAGATTTCTTTCTATGTAATTTTTTATTTCAAAGCACTGGAACTCAATTGTTTTTTTAATGTGACGTTGTTTTATATTAGAAAAATAAACATTAACATTAAGAAAAATAAAAAAAAAACTGAAATATGCTGTTTGCTTAAGTATTCAATCCCCATGCTTTAATATTTTTTAGAGCCACCTTTTGCAGCAATAACAGGTTAAGTCTTTTGGGGGGTAAGTGTGTGCCAGCTTTGCACACTGTTCAGCCCTTTCTTCCAGGCAGATTTGGTCCAGGTTGTTCGAGTTAGTTGGATGACGGTTGTGCGCCGCACTTTTCAAATAGTGCCACAGATTCTCAGTTGGGTTGAGTTATTTAAGATCAGGGCTTTGACTGGGCCACTGTAGGACATTCACCTTTCTGTTCTTGAGCCACTCCAGTGTTACTTTGGCCTTGTGTTGGGGATCACTGTCCTGCTGAAAGATAAAGTTTCTCCCAAGCGTTGGTTTTTTTAGCAGACTGAAACAGGTTCTCTTGCAGTATTTCCCTGTATTTTGCACCATCCATTCTTCCTTCCGTTTTAACAAGATGCCCAGCCTGCTGAGGAAAAGCAGCCCTATAGCATGATGCTAATATTTTCTATCAAAATTAATGACACATTAAAATAATTAATTTTGAGCTTCAGTGCATAGAAATAAAAATATCACAGAGAACTAAATTTCAATGTAGGATTTGTAATTCAGTAAGATAAGATCTCTTTATTGGCCATATACAATTTCTTGCATTAGGAATTTGTCTTTTCGCATACCCCAGCTTGCTCTCCATGAGACACAGAGGCACGCACAACAGGGAGAGAGAAAATTGGGGTCAGGGTGCAGGGTCAGACATTTATATGGTGCCCCTGGAGCAATTGTGGTTAAGGGCCTTGCTCAGGGGCCCAACGGAGTAGGATTCCTCCGCTGGTCACAGGATTTGAACCGGCAACCTTCCAGCCACAGGCACAGATCTGTCCCCAATTGACCAATGAGAGAATTGGTCAAGGGTCTGAATACGTTTGCAAGGTACTGTATATCTCTCTGTTTTTTTTAAATTGATCTGGATTGTAAATGCTGTTAACCTGGAGTTTTTGGCTATGCTTCTGCCTAACAGACATTAGAGAGGATATGTGCCTGCTATAGTACAAGAGACAGATGACCGTTTCTAAACCATGGGCCACTAACATACATAGTAAGCAATCGTAGGTAACAAGCATATGTATAAAAATGAAATTTCATTTTTCTTTACTACAAATGTGTGTAACTCACCTGTTTTTAGTGTGATGGCTGAGACTGCTTTTTCTGTGCGAGTCTGCTGGTACTGAAGATGTTGCTGCTTCTTAACGAGACCATGGAGTCTCGCAGTGTATAGTACCAGTCAGCGATGCCGTTTTCAATGCGTGTTTCCTTGAAACGTTCATAAAAGTGCATCATCATGGTCCTTCAATCTAATTTCACAACAGTAATCACCATATCCTAATGCAGGGTATTTCAAGAACTCTTGAAATTTGCAGCTGTTTAATTCTCAGCATTACATTGCTCAATCACGTGTACTTTTCACACTGATTATCTTGCTGAATAATGCAATGACACTATCAGCCTATGTCAATGCTCAGGCAAACCCGTGTCTTTCTTAATTAGGGCCTCTATGCCCTACTGTGATCCAACTGTAGCTAGAGCACTCATACTGTATCTTCTTATAGTAAAAATATCTCCTTTGGTAAGGCCGTGCCCTGATGTCAAATAAAGCATAACCGCTCAACAGGTGTAATCCATGCAAAAAATAACCAGCTGGGAAGTACTTATACCCTTTGTCTCATGGTCGACGTAGAGTAGAACTCGTAATCAGCTACAGAATTTTCCTGGACATTTAAATATCTTGAGCTGGCCTGGCACTGACAAGGGAAGTTTGCCACTATGTACTCCTTCACAACTTCTCTTTTGAATGAGGCCCTCGGCACCTAACTGGCTTTCAGAAGTGTCCATCTCCTTTCAGTGTCTTTTACAAATTCCGTGCAGCACATTTTAGGTATTTCAGTTTTGTCGCACCTTCACTGAAAAAAAATATATTTTTTTTAATTTAAAACAGTGCTGTGTCTAAAATTTTCATTTTTTGGTTGCAGAGACTTCAACCCTCAACACCATTGTACAGTAGTTGAAAATGAATGTTAAGATGCAACCAATGTTTTTGGGCAGAAATGACACATCAAACAAAAAAAATTGAAAACATTGGTGCACTCTATGTTTGGGTACCTTACCAATATAGAATTGCTAGTTACTTTTTGTTACCCATTTGTAGCTTGATGCTACAAATCATAGGACTACCTACATTTTTGCATTCTCATCTTTGTTTAGACTCCTCTGGCCTGCCTACCTTTAAGCCATTTGTCTCTTAACGTGATTATACAGTTCAGCCTGCACTCAGGCAAGCATCTTTACCTACATGGAACTTTTATTAAGGTTTATGGTCTGTTTTTAAACATACTCCCTGTGGACGACATTAAGCAATGGGCCAGATCCCCACCCAAGGACTAAAGTTTAGTTTGAGATTTTAAGTTGGTTTTGACATTATGCTGTAAACAGTTTTGAGTATTACGCATCTAAAGTTTTTAAATTGTGCTTTCGAAAAGCATGACACTGCATCTTAATATACACTAAAGGAAGCACTGTTTGATATTACTGTTGTGTTGTTTAGAATAGGTTTTTTTAAAAATTGTGATTCCATAATTTTCTACTGATTTTTTTTTTATACATTGTTCTTGTATTAAAACAACAAAAAAAGAGCCTGCCTGTTTTTTGGATGAAGTACATATGAATTTTGGAGAATAATACTTTATGGCAATCATGAAAAAAATATGCAATGTGATTTCTCATTTTCAGTACATTTAATTATAGGCTCATTTATCATCTACTGATTTCACCCTTTTTCACATAACATCCAAAACGACTCTGAATCCTCAACATTAATTCAGTTTAAAAATGACAGCAGATTGGAATGTCATTCAATGAGTTCAATATCACAACCTTTTCATTAGAAAGTCACTCGTGCCTAGTCATTGTTCTGCTAAAAGTAGGATTTAAAAACGTTAATGATTTCTGTTAACTACAAACTGTTAAAAGGACAGAATGCACCCTGTTACAATTCATTAAACATCCAGAGTAAGACTTTTTTTCTACCAAAATTAAAATTAATAAATTGAAATGGTGTTTAAATATAACGTTGTCCTCCTTTAACTGTTTTGGATTGATTTTTGTTGGACAGGGCCTCATTAACTGTGAATGTAACTCTTTTTATCTCTGTTAACCACAAAGTTTGAGACCCCAGTGGTGAGGGGCTACTGTAGTATGAATACTACTTAAAGCTGAACTCCAATGACTGAAATCAGAAAGCTGGTTTAAGAAGAAAGCACAGGAAAGATGCTAATATCTGAATTTGTATTTTTAACAGGCTGGCTGATCTATAAATAATCACCAGAAAATATTTAAACAACAAAATTATGTACTTGAAAAGCATATTTATCCTTAATGTTTACATGCATAACATCAGGTATACAAAGTTATTTAACCTTAGCTATAATAATGAAACCCACTCCATAACACTGATCCAATCTCAGATATTTACTCTTGAAAAATAATATTGCACTTTATATCCTTAAGCACCCGTCATCCAGATCTGTTTTTCCATTTTCACGTTTTTATTGCCACAGCTTGCATTCACACTTTTTCAAATGCAGTTTAACCACAAGGAAAATTATTAATAAAGTTATGGTTTAAAAAAAAGCTAAAAATTGCACTAATGTTCTGTAAGGAAAATATTCTACATTTTACTTGTACAAATCTCAGTCTTCAAGTGCTTTGTAGCAAAAAAAAAAAAAGACTACTCGTCTTCATTCTCATTCTCTTGACCAGAACCCTCTGAGCGATCACCTTCCAAACGGTCTGTGGGGAAAAAGAATCTGTTACCCGTGATCCAAGGATTATCATTGATACCTCAGGAGATAACACTTGTCATATTGCTTTATATTAGTTGACTTGGCCTGAAGACTAAATGCTATGTGCTTTACCCTCAGGCTCTGATAAATGAACACTGCATAAACAGAACGAGTTTATTGGTTTGTAAAATACACAAAAACCAAATGAACATTTTTGGACATTTAAAAAAAAGTTGTTTAGACTGAGTAAGTGTGCCAAGGCAGTTTCAACTCAAGAGAGTTCTAAATACAGAACTGTATTTCCCATCCTTATCACTGCAAAAGTCACACGCACAGCACCTTTTAAAAACCCTCCAAAAAAGATGTTTTACTGCAGGAAAATAAATCATACTCATAACAGAAGTATAGTGGTATTTTGCTCTTTAGTATTAATCAGCTATAGTTACATAACCTTAAAAATCTAAGATTTTTCCCTCATTTAAAGTTGTAACATTTGCCATTTGTGCTTCTCTTGCCTAGAAAAGTCAGTTTCAACACAATTTCTGCCCATTCCTTGCGGCAGTGTGTCACTGAACAACTCAGGGTTTCGAATTTAATGTAAGTGCATTCTGTACTGACAGGCTTGTGATCAAAGTCTGCTTGAGTCACACATTGTCTCAGGTGACCAACAATATGCCCCGGAAAAGCTTAGTGGGGTTTAATTTGGGGGAGACCATTGGCCAGCATCCTATGGGAAACATCTTGTCCTAAAGACATAGCTGAAGAATCATCATGAAGTAGTATCTGTATCAATCAAAAGACAACACACTAAGTGTTCCATATATCTAAACTGCTTTTTTTCCTAAACCATTTTCCCTCATCCACCCCAGCAATTGCAGTTTGAGTGCTACAATTGCAGATGTTAATCAGTTCAAGATTGAGTATTCAGCTACATAATTTCACTTGCACCACATCTGAAAACCATTAGAGAAATCCTGAGTTTTGGATTTCTTGTCAAATGGGTTCAACAAGGATAGGAGGACCTTAAAACATGCCAAGACCTTTATATTTTACAGTTGAACGTCTGCGTTTCCAGACCCATTTTCTGAAGGAAAGACTGTCTCTACTGAAAATGCACTAGGCCGTTCACTTTGAACTAAGTCACATGTGGTCCTACTTGTACAGTATGTTACTGAGACCACAAACAGTGCCACTACACATACTGAAAAGACCAACAATACACTAAATTCAGCAGAGTCCTAATTTCCTAGTTTCCTCTGCATGTTCAACATCTATGGCATCATAATGACACAACTAAGCATGAAGACCATTTCAAAATTGCAATTAGCCTCGACAAGAGTATATAATTACACATTAAGCTTGATAAGTGATGGGGAAATGTGAAATCTAAAAAAACTCTAATCCTAACCCAGTTATTAACATACATGGATAATGTAATGGTATTCTGTTAAAAGCATATATATATATATCTAGTTTGTTCTTGCTCATCTGTTTTTACAGACAAGTAGGGTGATGCCATAAAAAATGCTTTAGAGCCAGTGCACAGGATCCATGAAACTGAATGGCATTTAAAACCACAGGAAGTGCATTTACCTGCTCTTATATGATTCAGCGAAGCCAGCATTCGCAGCATAAAGGAGGCAGGCACTGTGATTGTGTTTCTTGTCTCCTCAAGCATCAGCTCATTGCGGGTAATAACCTAGAAGGGATTCAACAGGAACACAGTCACTAAACTGCAGTGCCACGCACAAGACAAGAATCAGACAAGATTATGGGTACAGGTCGACTAATTTCTTTACATACAGAAATATTTTTGTTAATAAGGCAAGAATTATATTTTGTTCTAATCTACGTTGAAGTTCCAGATTGGGACAATAAACCATCTACATGTAGGCTAGGCCAACAATGTCCTCTTGTGCATATTTATTCCAGAAAACAACATACAATTACAATTAAAACACTGCAGGAAAATGTATTTCTGTACATGAGAAATGATTTCAGTGAGCTGTACTAGCTGTGAACATATTACTCGTCACTTTAACAGTTCTCCAAATGGGGTCAAAGATTTAGTAGTTTCCGGATGACAGAAAAGACAATCCTGACTTTCATTAAACAGATGTTCAAGATGAGTAATGGGAGGTAGTTCTGAAAATTGCTTGGCGTGTTCATAGTTACAATAGAGCCTTTCAGAGACAGGAAATATTTTACTGTCAGAGGGAGATGAAGAAAACACTGGCGTAAAACATTATGTTTTATAATTCAACATCTCAAAAAAACAGGAGGGACAGTGGGGCACCGGTCTCATGTCTCTTGGCCATGTTTTCAACTCCTGGGGTATTATCTGCATGGAGTTTGTATGTTCTCCCCGTATTTGTGTGGGTTTCCTCCAGGTGCTTCAGTTTCCTCCCACTGTTGAAAGACATACAGTACTGGAAGGCTAATTGAGTTCTGTAAAAAATAGCCCTGGTTCGAGTGTGTCCATCTCTGTTTGTGTCTGTGTGTGCCCTTTGATTTACTGGCAGCCCGTCCAGTGTGTATCATGCCTTGTCCCTAATGCTTCCCAGCAACGTTTCTGGGCCACTATGACCCTGATGTATTCGAAGTGATATAATGACAATCTCCATAAAAAACTGCTCTGCAACTACAAAGGAAACTTTTGTCAAATCAGTCTATCTGAACCCTTTACCATGATTTCTTTGAATTCAAGTTCGGTTCTCAGAGATGTATTCCTTAAAGCAGTGTTCAGAATCAGGTCTGTAACACATTTTAGAATAAAGGCTTCACTCTAAACACAGAGGACTCAGATGTTCCATTAGTTCCTTCGTTTCTGGCTGTCTGTATTAGACCCAGCACAAACTCCTACCAGGTCACACCCAGACTTAAGACTTAACTTAAAACTAGAATACCAGTGAGAATTTCACCAGACGACAATCGCGTCTTTAAACTCAAAATGCAGCTAATTTTGTTCCACATATCAATGTGGAATGTGAATTTGTCATGGGCAACATTAAACCAATATGCAATAGGCTTCATGCAGGATGTGTGTCAGGAATGGCAAGAGAGTTAGAGAAACAGGGTGGTAAATGTCAGAAAAACTACTCGGACTGTGCGATGGAACAACTCAGTTTTTGTCAAAAGATTAATCCTAAGTAGACTAATTTTCCATGTACAACATACCCACTTAATAAAACCCCCCGAGAACATACCTCTTCAGCAAGCTTTCTATTAAAAGATGGAGATTCTTCCAGTGGTGACCAAATCTTGATATCATAGTCTATTCCCGATGAGGCGAGAACTGGAAATGTAGATGTGCATAGAAGGAAATTACACATACATCACTCTAGCAACAGCATTGTTCATAGTCCAACCCTTAGATATTTTTTTAATAAAGGTTATTGAGCTTCACAAATTAAAACTAATAATTTCTCCCTACAGGCATTTTCATGCCTAAAAGACTTCTCATACTTTAAGTGCATAATTCACATTTATTATACTTGGATGGCGGACACAATCGGTATAATATCCACTGTTACTCTTTCTTTGCCTTACCACTTTGGAACTCTGTTCTATCAGTAAGCCTTATTGACTACCATCAAATATTTTTTTCTATACTAAACGCTATACTGGAAATAATTCCAAAAACAGAAACAGTGTCTCTGTTATAAAAATTACACATTATTATATCATTTTTTGTGTAAAAACGAATCTCTCGGTTATATTCTGTGTACAAACAAATTAGTTAGTTTCATACTTGCGTATTTATATAAAACAAAAAACAATATATGTTGTCAAATACTGTCCAGTTTTAACTATTAATACCAACTACGCCCTGTTGAGACAAACGAATAGTACAAACAGATGTTTGTGTGACAAAGTGCAAAGCCCAGCATGGGGAGGTTGGCAGTAGGCCTGCTTTCTCGCTGGACACAACATCTTCTTGAGAAGAGGCTAGCTTTGATTTTAATGCTGTCCTAGAAAATGTATTCCTAGCAACCTGAACAGTACTCCTGGAATTTCCATTGAAGCAGCTGGGAGTGCGTCTCTGTTCCTGCCTGTTCACAATTCATTGCACAACATACTCTGCTACATTTACACTGCTGTTTTTTCTTAAAAAAATAAACAAGTAAAGGCATATATAAATTTAATTGGTGACCAATGCAAAGGTACTATTTGACAAAGTAGTGCCAAAAGCCATACAATGTGCTGAGTTGATCAGCTCTTTGCAATCTGGCAAGATGCATGACAGAAATTCAAAGAACGCAGGATGTAATTTGAAAGCACTGTGCAGTGTCGAAAACAGTCTGGACACCTTTCTCTAAAATACTTTGGATATTAGTTTAGGTTTCTAGTTGTTAAAATCAGAATTAAGGACTAAAGCAGCATTTTCCAACAGGAAGTTCTTTAGACAGTAATTGGAGTGATGTGGAATTTTGTGGAAAGTCACATTCAGAGAAATGAAAATAAATTAGTTTAAATTCTTCTTAAATTCAGGAATAAGACAAACCACTTTTTTAGAACTTTCCTCTTGACAAGCAGATGTGGGATTGAGGGACTAATATGCTGACACAGATGTTTGGGCCTTTGACTGAATGCCTGAAAATTTGAGCAGCTTTATTTGAGCTCTAAGGTACATAATAAATTTTAAGCTTGTAGGACATACAGTACTTACTGGGATCAAAGGGGTGGGGCTGGAGGCAGTTTACCACATGGTTATCTGCCTCCAGCAACATCAGATGTTCAGCTGTGTGTCGATCCCAAATAAAGATGTGCCCACAGTCAGAGCCACTCATGACAAAATTACTCCCCCAGAAACTGGATTCCTTGATCTGAAATAAAAACATCAAACACAGGTGGTAAAAAGCATACATAATTAAAGCAAATACAACATAAAAGTAGCATCTGAACATCCTTACCCTTCATTCCATCCCTAAAAGCCTGCCAGCTAGCTGTATTTTTGATCTCCTAGCAATCTCTCTAATAACAGACATTGTAAGAACTGTTTCTTGGTACATGTAGTGGACAAAAAAATGGGAATGAGTGTAAAGTCACTTAAAAAGGATGGCCTGGACAGCCTGAGTGTCTGCAATGCTGCAGGAAGGATGTGGCACCACTCCTGTGTGTCAGGCACTGTTCCAGAATATCTCATGAATGCCCGACTGGGACCTGGTAACTGAAAAGGCCGTGGCATACGGATAACATCACTGTCATTCAAATAAAATACCCTTTGGCCACATATGCTCTGTAGATGGGAACATCGTCACGCTGAAAGACACCCCTCCTGGCAAGAAAGCGATTACTCATTAATCATTGAGGAGTGATTAGCATTGACCGTGCCTCCTAGGGGATTGAGAATCTCTATAGCGGGAAAGTGTGCTCCACAGAACCAGGAGGACCCTTCACTATTGGACCTGGGCATTCAAGGCTGTAGAGGTCTTTAGCATGGTGCCACATGACCACACGTCTATTTGTCAACAATATGGTGAGGGATGGTTCATCTGACCAGATCGCATTTCCAGACTGTCCCACTGCCCGTTCTCTGGGCAGCACTTGATATGCAAATGTCTATTGCCAAGTCTGATGAGTAGTTTGTGTACTGCAAGCCCATTCCAGCCTTGAAAAGAGAGATCAACAGACTGCTTAACAACATTGCACGCAGGGTGTATGCAATTTTTGCCCTACCCTTTCTTCTTGATATATTTGTTCAAACTCTCTCAAGTGGACTGAGGATCAGGTATGGACGACAGTTTGAGCCTTTTCACAGATTCCAGTCTGATTCGGTTGAGGACTTTGACTGGGCTTCTCAAGAATACACACTTTCTTATTCTTAAGCCACTCCAGGGTAGCTTAAGCTTTGTCCTCAAAGGCAGACAGAAACAGATTCTCCTCCAAGATTTACCTATATTTCTCTCTATCCACTTTCCTCTCAGTCTTTTCCAGTCCAAATGGACGAGAAGCACCCCCTATAACATAATGGTATCATCACCATGCTTGACTGCAGGGATGGTGTTGACTGATGTGCTATGTGCTGTGATAAGTCCACACCAAACATTTATTAGACAAAAGTTCCAATTCTGTCTCTTCTAAATAAAACACCTTTTGCAACACCATTTTTGCAGGCTCACTCGGGTGTTTTGATGGAAACTCCACGAGTCCCGGAAATTGTTGACTTGTGTACATTTTTCTCTCATCTCAGTCACTGAAATCTATACTTATTTCAAAGAAGTACTTTACTGTACAGAAATGGGTCGTTCTTTCGAAGTTGTTGTTAATCTCTCAGGGAAATCCGTCACCAGTGACTTGTTAGGTTGCTCAGTTTGGAGTGACAGCCTGATATAGGCCCTTTAGGTGGTAAGGTATACATTGAAATTGATAAGATATACTGATATTATGAGACTTCGATATTTTTTGTACCCTTCTCTTGATCAGTGCTTTTCAACGACTTTATGCTCAACTTCCTTTGAAAGCTCCTTAGTCTTTATAGGGTTTTAGCCTTCATAGGTTTTGCTTGAAATTCACTATCCTGCTAAGGAACCTCATAGGGCCAGGTGGTTTAATTCAGAAATCACAGGAACTACTATTAGACACAGACAGAGGCCGATAAACTAACTGTCTTATAAGAGTAATATAGTGCACTTAAAGTAATTTTGGCTTGTCACAGCAAAAGGGGCTAAAAAGTAATGCAATCATGACTTTTCCATTACATTCTCATATTTTTCTTAGTTTTCTTTTTTTAAAAATCTTTTGATTTGAATTTGTGGAGTAGGTTGTGTGAATAACCAATGTGAGTTGTACTCATATCATAACTGCAAGCTTTAAAACAACAAAATGTGAAAACTAATCAAGTGTCTGAATACTTTTGCAAGGCACCATAGGTAATATATCTATTCTTCTTTTACAACTTGGGAAATGGAGCGGCAGAACATTTTAATCACAATAAGTTGTTTCTTTCTAGAGATCACATACTGTAAATGTAAAACAACAAGTCGAAGACTGAAATATATCAAGTAAAACATGTAAATTTAACCACCTAGCTACACTCATTCTAGGCTCAAAACAGTTATATTTTCAACTCTGCACGATGTTGTACCATGGTTCGGGAGTTGCGATGGCCTTTGTAAACCATCTTGACTGCCGGTCTTCTGATATTTAGGGTCTCATTCTCCTCCATCTCACGCCGCTCCTTTCTCCTCCTGAAGAGCTCCTGGATGCGGGCCGCAGCACTGCGTCTGTGAAAGGGGTAGAGCAGCTGTTAACCTTCCTAAACTGGCCCCACATTTCAGCCTTTCTTCCCTCGGGCTGCGGCGCTTTGTCAGGTGACAGAGGGTAAAGAGGCTGGCGTTGGGTATTGTTCATATGCAGCCAAAGCCCGTCACAGAGCTTACACACAACCACACGACCCTCTTCGTAAATAACACCGACACCGAGTTTTCTGAAAATAATTTGAATCTATAGGAAATTGAGAGTGCTTTCCAATGGGTTGCAGACAAACTCATGTAAAAGCTACAGAAAATGACAGTTAAGTTGAACACTGCAGGTAAACGACAAAAAAATGTAAAACTTTGCGTGTGGACATGTCATGAAGGAACGTGACATGATGTAATGACCTGATGTCAATGATGGAGCTAATTGTTATTACAATTAATAAGGCAGAAATTCAGAGAGCTGTGTAAAGGGTTGTTGCAGTAGCTATAATCGCACTACTCAAAAACTAGGAGTCTCAAGGATCCTTTAAGTAGCTGCTCACCCTGAAATTCGCAATGTTTTTACAGTCTTGCTTACAAGCAGGAATAATCACAGTAGGTAGAGGATTCAGACATTTAGATAAAGGTATATGAATTTGTGCTGATCTTTGTAACAACATTTCATTAGACCCACAAGAGGTAAAGTTTTACATCGTCGTTTGCAGATTGCTTTAAAAGCATGGAATTTAGGCTAGAAAGCTACTGTACATTTCTCTTACTGGAAATGAAAAGTGGAATGTCATTAAGTTTAAATTTACAGATTGCTCTTCATTGAGGATTCATAAAACACATTCCTAAAACAATCAAATTGAAACATTCCATTAGAAACTACATACATGGATGAAAGGATCAAGATCCCATTCACGCTTTAAAATAAGCAAGGAACTAATCACTGTATAGTAGAACCTATTTCAATTATTTTGTAAGAAGCAGTTCTTGAGTGGAAAAGGCTAAAGACAGTATGTCCAAGGAGCCTTGTGTGTTCCAACAAAGGAATGTTTTTTTATTGAAATGCATCCGACTTGTTGAATTCCATGCATTGTCGCTCCTTACTACACATTCCTCCTCTCATGCCGGCTCTTAGTGGTGCCCCTCAGCAGTGAAAAGGCTGCCCTGCTGTGTGATGGGTCTGACAAAAATCGCCTAAATAGAGATTATAAAGTAAATAAAGACCAGGGGTGGCAGCACTCTCCAGTGCCCTAACCAGCTTGAAGCAGATGTTTTCAGAACACAGCACATTCATCTTACCCATATATAACGTCTCTTTTCGTGGTTTAGATGCTCAATAATCAAAAGGGCATTTCAAATGTTTAACAAGTAAAGAAAGGAAAGATGTAGGCGTTTAAGCACCGAATAAGTCCATTTTACAGGATTTAGTTGTAATAGTATAATCAAGTTGTGTATGTTTCTTATTTACTTAAGGCTGTGAAAATCACATGTTCAAGGCCTAACAATCTGTTGTATATCCAAAGTATTTTGTTTTAAATGGTCAGTAAGGGATAAAAGAACAGAAGATTAGCAGAATTCTCTATATTTTCCTAAAGATGGAGAAAGCCAACTACTATGTCATTGGGTGTATCATGTTCCTACAAATATCATCTCTCATATTATCCATATCTGTTGACTATTCCTTTTACTGCAGTCTATCTGCTTCCTATGGGTTCCTAGCGTCTGAATAATTAGAACACAAAACCGAAACTCATGCGCACATGCAGTTCAACACAAACGGAGCGCATTGTCACACCACACGTTCTATAGATTAGTGCTGTTTTACTGATCCAGTCTAACAAATTCGGCACAGTCAAGACCGTATAAAGCATTTACACTTGAAGGTCTGTCTCCAGGAATTTCTTTTTTTAAATGTTAATAACATCACTTCTAGGAGTTAATTACTTTAGTAAGAAGGAAATATTAGAATTACCTTATCATTCTATCACCTACTGCTGATCCTCTGAAATTAAATCTATTGGAAGGAACACAATATTTATAAACTTTACTTATAAAGCTAACTACAAAATATAATGTCTGTTAAACACATCTGTACATACACATTTACCAATTGCAATTAGCTCTACAAATGTTTATAATGATTATGAATACACACATGGGTCAAATCAATATAGAATACTGTTACTTTCCACTGAGGTTACTGTAGGTAATCACCATGTAAATACTATCTTTACACTTTCTACAAAATGTGAACTGAAGTACCTTATCTGACTTAATCTGCATTTTCTTTAGAATTAATCTACAGCATATTAAGGAGACACAATTTGTAGTATAAGCATTGCTCCAGGTCAGATATACTGCTGAATAATAAAATAATCACAAAGATATATGAAATGGTTTTGTGATGCACTAAGCAGGAAGCTTTCATAGAGAGCTGACAACCAGAACCAACTTTAAATTATAGGTCAGCAGGGTATATTAGAGAAAGAGCAATTTATGTACGACACAGGTCTTTCAGGATGGAACGACAGTCCATTCAGGCGGTTATCTAGTGCCTGTGAGAGAGCTACACTCTCACAGAGCACAGAACACATTAGATTTACATGGCTTGTACTACAAGTTCATCTGCTCTTGTAGTAATGAAACTACAACAAGGCCGCAGGCACAACCTGCATCTCGGAAGATTTAGAGGTTTCCAACCAGTGAAAAAGGACAACAAATCCTCAAGACCCTACAACCTAAGGTCTTTTATAATACCAACATCTTTCTCTTGCCGATATCAGGATTAAAACGACATTTTTGAACAGCAACTTTAAAGGATGTGTGACCGATCAATTTTAATTGTCATCTAAATGTTCTCTGGGTATCATATGATAAACTGTGACAATCAGCACTGTGTTAATGAATTAATGAATTCGTAATTTCAAATTGGCAAGAGAAGTGAACAACAGGGAGATATGGGAGTGAGCATCAGCAAGGGCAAAAAGCATGAAAAGCTTAATGGAACAGCAGTAAAACATTTTCATTTGGAATCTATTTTCGGTTTTGTCATCTACAGATACATTGCATGTTGTGCAAGGCTATGCAGTACAGCATTTAAAGCTGAGGTTTAGAATTGTAAAAACAAGAAACCCACAGTCCATCAATTTAATGACTGTACATATACTCAAAATGGCAACACAACTCCAATGAAACTAAAAACACGAAATATGATTAGCTCAAATGCTAAGGTGCAGTGAAGCAATTGACTACAGATGACAGATGATTACAAATACTTCAGCAGCACAGCTAATTCCGATCCTCAGTGCTTTAATAATGAATGCTCCTGATCATATTACCATTCCTTTAAAGAAAAAAAAAAGTTTTTTGCCCTTTCCAAAAAATAAGTAATAAGAAAAAGATAATTGGGCATATATAACGTGTGCAACACAAAATACCAATAAAAACAACTGGAGTAAATCTTCAAAATTAAATCAACCGCACTAGTGCATCACCATGTTTAAAAAAGACCAATAAATCTGGTACCCTATACTTGCACAAACGATGTGAAAGCTTTTGTCCACAACAGCCGATCCCGGGAAAAACTATTTTGTCTGAGACGATGCATGAAGATGACAAGTTCTGTACAGCTGGTGAGCGTGTCTGACAGCAGTTTAACATACCTCTGCCCCTGTCCGGCACGATACCTTGCCGACGGTATTAAAATGGGGTCATCGTCGCTGTCGTCTGAATCCTGGTAGCTGCGGGTGGCCTGCTCACGACTGCTTTCTCCCGCAGGCTCGGTGCGCCGGCACGACTCGCTGGGGTTCTCCAGGCCCGCCCCCGCCTGCTGCTCCTCCGGGGGCTGGGAAGAGGCACTGTCCGCTCCCTGAGCGAGCTCTTCTGCCGGCCCGGCCGCGGGGCTCTCCGGAGAGCTGGGAGAGGCCTTTTCTGTGCTGCTGTCCGTGCTCTCCTCGCCTCCAGCTCCAGCCCCAGCCGGTCCCGCCCCAGTCTGCTCGGGGGGCTCCAGTGCTTTGGACTGCATGGGCTTTTCCGCTAGAGCTGACGGTGCTGCCACACAGAGACAAATGCACTTTAAATCGTCTAAAAACATTTCGGTAATACATTCAGCTGGTCCTGCATAACAATCAACCCCACTCTGAGTTAAGTGAAATAAACTGACATATGAAAATCGCCAAGAAATCTGATTGTTGTATCCTTTTTTTTTTTACTTACTGTATTAAATATAAGCAAAATTACATTATCTGGTCTAAGATGCACCTATAGGGAAAGTGAGCATTACCATGCACAATGCTTTGCTGCTCCATGGAGCTGTTTTCAAGTGAACTACTTTTAGTAAACAAAAACATTAGGTTATTACTGCCCTGGTTTCTTTAAATAGCAACAAAGCTGTCACCTCAAGGGTAATTCTAAGATTAACCTATTATCTCAAAAGGTTAATATGGACTTTTAGCAAATACACTCCAAATATCAAAAATCAGTAGGGAGGACACAGTGACCTCAACTGTTAATAATTGTGTTGGTATTGCAGGGAACCAGGGTTTCTATCTTCATGAACACATTACAGTTAAATCAGTCAAAATAATGGTGCTTAGACAGGGCAGTCACAGGCCAAGTCATTAATACTACGTGCAACAATAAATCAAAAAAACATTCCTGCACAACATTAACCTATATTAATAATAAAAGCTGAGGTTTCTTGTGATAGTTCTCGCTACTTGAGAGTGCATTCTTCTGTAAACAATTGTCTGCATTTTGCCTTTGTACATATATTTTTTTTAAATCTTGATTGCTTTAAGTGCAGAAAAACCTAATCTCTCAAAGATCCGCTCTGGTGAAGGGAATCATAATCTTAAAGTTCACGTATGACTGGTCCATAAAGTCCTCCGTTCTATGCACCCAAAACTCCACCAGAGCCTTGTGTGCAAATTTTAATTTTAGCCGAATTAAATTTAGTCAAGGGTGTTATTATCGCTGATTGCACGATAGCCAAGGGAGTGTAAGAGACGATTCTGTACGCAGACATTTTCTGATAGCTCTATCCATTGTGGGGAATTATATTAAGTGGCTGTCGGAGCTGTAGAAAGTGTTACATGACTTCAGTTCTCATTTTCTCATCTACATGCATTCAATTTTTCTCTCTAGCTGCATTCTCCAGATGGAAATTAATTGTTTGAAAGGTCACAGAATCAGTGAAATGGTTTCAGCCTACATGTAGTCAAATTGGTATAACTTCTTGGTATAATTTCCCTCGGGTATATAAAGGCTTTCTAGATGCAGAATCAACTCTTAAAGAAAGCAAACACAAAGAGCTTTTGAAACAAGTCAGCAATAAAGTAGTAGTTAGGTAAAAAGAAGAAGGTTTTAGAAGTGCTGATTAGCCCTCTCAGCACATTGAAGTCCCATTAAGAAGTGGAAGATACATCACCTTCCCCAGCTGAACAGCCAGACAAGTGGTAGGCTGATTTGGGTTATCAAAGTTCTGTCTGAGATGGAAGTCAGGGTTCACAAACTGATGATATCCCTATCCCTAGCTAGCTTTTTTAGGCAGATGACAAAAATGAAGACTTTACTGAAAATACCTCGTCTTAAAACTCAAATGAGATATACTGCGAATGTGGCAGAAAGTTTTGCCATCACGTGAGGCAAAAATAGAAGTTTTTGCTCTTAACAAAAAGGATTACATCTGGCATAAGCCTGAAAACACACATCGCCCCGTAAACACTGTCCTAGGATACCAAGCATGGTGGTGGCAGCATCATGTTATGGGGAGACTTTGCATCAGTATGGACTGAGCAACTAAGGAGAACGGAGAGGAAAATGGACGATGAGTACAATCTACTTGAGTAAGCCATGAATCCTAGTCTGGTTGCAGCATGCACAGTGCATCAACAGCAATCAAAGCGCAAGGCTGCACGTCATCTTCTGGTTTTTCACACTTTGAGTTGATTTTAATGCCTCTATGAAATTTCGTGTCCCCGCAGCCCAATAACCCCTCCCCCCCCCCAGGCTACCCCAGCCACATTGTAGAAGTTGATAACCAGGCTTTCTTGAAATGGCTGGTGATAATGTGATGTTTATGCTACTGTACGCACTTGAAAGGGAAATCTGAACTGTGAAGTGAACTATCCCCCCTTTCTCAAGGTTCCTATTAAACACACAATAACTTGTTGTTATACTGTATCATGACTTGAGTCTTTAGTGACTCATTTTGAAACAAAAGAAGACACCAGCATCATGTCCCACCTGCCTCCATGCTCTCCAGCGAAGACTCCTCTTTGCTCTGTGTTTTCTGGGGCTCCTCAGGTTTGTCTAGTTTGCTGTGACCCCCACTTCCTCTGGAACTGGAGGCAGTGCTGCTCCTGTCGAATGGGTGGAAAAGAGACACCGAATGACCCAGTGAACCCACTGCTCCACTGGAAGAGAAAATCCTTCACACCTTCACTCTATCAGGTGGATGCTATAGAATACAGCTTTCCACACATCTCTGCAACAACACTGGGTCCCTGGGTTCAGCTCCTGGAGTACTATCTGCATGGAGTCTGCACATTTTCCAATGTTTGTGGGGGTTTCTTACAGGTGCGCCAGTTTCCTTCTGGGAAAACTGGCCCAGGTGTGAGTGCATGTGTTTTTGTGTCTGTGTCCCCTGTGAAGGACTGGCATCCTGTCCAGGGTATATCCTGCCTTGTGCCCAGTTTTTGTCAGCATAGTATCCAGTTCCCCTGCAACCCTGAATTGGATAAAGATAGAAAATGATGGATGCACAATAGCTATACTAAATGCAGTCCATATAAAAAAAATATTATAAGCTAAATGTGATTGATAAATTCTGTTTCCTTGAAGCTCATCATTGAAGGGAACATCCCTAATTATGTTTACATCAAT